GACACACTTGCTAAGAAGGGGACAACGATTTTGCAATGCATGGATCGGCCGATGTCTTTCCACACAATGAAGACCTTAATCAGGAGAGAATTCCACACCTCAAGGTGCAACGAAATTAAAGCTCGAACAAAGGAGAAACAGTGGACAGTGGCAAGAATCGACTGGCTAAGAATCGAAGCCATTGCTGAGTTTAGACTACGTACCAGACACGATTGCTTGCCAAAACACCTTCACAGATTGTAACCTACAGGAGGAAATGGATAAGACCCACCTGGTTTGCTGTCCAGCCCTAAAGACAAGTACGGAAATCCAAAGATACTGGGAAGCAAGAAGACAGCTAATGAATTGCTATTAATTAACTGCTATAAATGTACCCCCCTTCTTGGGGGAAGCTGAAGTCAAAGATTAAGGGCTAATGATAAATATCATAAAGCCTGCCATTTGAAATAAATAAATTAGGAGTCTAAGGCCAATGGGGGTTAGTTTGAACTGTACGGTTTGGGATGTACGGTTCTAAGGACTTTGAAGGGTTAGACTCTTAAATGGACAGGAATTCTGCTTAATGAAGTTCGCGTCTTCCACGAATGTGGACTCGAAAAAACATTGATATCATTAGAAATACTAAAAAACAATGTCCGATGACCGATTTCGTATAGGAGAAAGAATGTGAAAAATTGGAAAACATACTTCCGACCCTCGAAATGTAAAGTAAATGACTAAAATGAATAACTTTGAAGCACTACACAGACGGTAATTTAGCGAATTACAATCGAAATGAAGGCATATTTGAAAAAATTGTGAGGTTACAATTCTGGATGAAATTACACCAATCAAGGAGATGGTAGTTTGATATGTGAACACTGGCCAAATACTAGTCATTTTATGCACTGGAAGTAATTATTGTGGGTTAGTAATAGTAGATGACGTCTATTGACTGTCAAATGACCGGGAATAAAAACACCCCCTTAATCAATTATGTTTATGAGATGGCTGGGAAACATCTTAATATTCCCTGAGCTGATCTATCCACAATTTCCATTACTTTCTTTTTACACTGCATTTATTCAGCGCTCATATGCACAGCATTCAAGTTCTCCATAGACATTTATCTGTTCGACAATCCAACCCAGCTCCAATTTGAGTCTAACTTCGGAGTCAGTAATACCTGCTTCTCCCCATGGTGTCTGAAGCTTCATTAATCTTATCAGCCCCCTGTAAAGTCCNTTGGAGTCACTCTTCGATCCTACTATATCTGCAGCCTCTAGTTCTACCCATGGAATAGATATGACGTCCTTGATGTCACTGTCAATCTACTCTTATTTTAGACCTTAAAACATATTACAATATGCAGTTAGGAAACAAATTTTATTCAGTAGCTTGTTTTATAATTACATCTTACTCACATTTGTTTTCGTTTGAGGGCATTTTTCATAATTGCACCCAATTTAAAAAAAACTGAATAGCGGTTCGAAGTTCTTCTTGACTATGAAAGTATTATAAACACATAACATCGATTTGTTTTGATAAAAATCACATTAACGTCTTCGCGTGTGTTTGAACAGTTTTCAAAGGTTTCCTTTGGGCAATATTGAACGCCAATTCGTACTTTCCTTTTTCACGATAAAATAGATGATCATCTGTAAAACTCAACAGGCAACCGATAGCAGCATCGGTAGTGGCGACGTTCGATTCTCATATTCTCCTTAATTCCTCATATTATCCTTCTTGCTCACCTCCTCCGTATTCTCACTTGTGCTTCACAATCTTCATCGAGTTTGTGACCTTGAAGAAACTCTTAGCTCTATCAATGTAGGACTCTCTCTGGTAGTTTGACTTGACCCTCAACGTCTCTTCGATTCACTTTCACTACCGTTTTGTAATCTCTCTGTTAGGTGATGTCAGACGCTCCTCCCTCCCCCTCACAGCACTAATTTCCAATTTTTGTCATGCTTCGAAGCATTAAAATATAAATGGCTGCTCGATTTTAGAGCGTTAATTTTAGCATTATTTATTTATATCAAATGGCAGGCGATTTGATGGCTATCATTAGCCTTTTAGTTGACTTCAGGCTTCACAGAGGGGAGGAGGAACATCAAAGTGAAAAAAGTCGAGAGG